TATAGATTCCTGTTTTCCAATTTTCATGCAATTTCGAATATAAATAGCTTTAAGTAACGACCATATCAAGGGGCGAATTCGTCACTAGGCAAGATTTTTTTGCGCCAATCAGAAAGAACGGATACTGTCAAAATATAATTATAATATATAATATATCTCAACTAATTTATATTTATAAAGCCGTTTGTTAGTTTTCGCAAGGCTCGGGAGCGGCTTTTTTTGAAACTGCCACCTGCCGCACATGTCCCAAGGATGGTTTTAGGCTGAAAAAAATCTATATGTAAAGGGGGCGTGGCACTTCCATACAAACCGAATTTCTCATGCTACATATCTCTGAAAGTGTGCATGGTAGAGTTTTGGAAATTGGTATGGAGATATACGAAATCAATCGCATACCCTTGGAGAAAAATTTTAGCTATAGTAAACAGGGGTGTGACATCTCCAATACAAACCAAATTTTTCATACTGCTTATCTCTGGAAATTTTTTGGTAGAGTTCTAGAGTTTTGTATGGAGATGTACGAAATAAATCGCATACTCTTGGAGAAAAATTGGAACTATTGGAAAAGGGGGTGTGGCATCTTCCATACAAACCGAATTTTTCATACTGCCTATCTTTGGAAGTGTTCATCGTAGAGTTCTGGAACTTGGTGTGGAGATATACGAAATCAATCGCATACTCATGAAGAAAGAGGGCAGCTATTGGAAAGGGGGGCGTGGCTCCTCCCATATAAATCGAATTTTTATACTGCATACCTCTAAAAGTATTCATGGTACAGTACTGGAACTTCGTATGGAGATATGTATATAGTTGAAATCAAGCCCATACTCATGGAGAAAATTTGGGCTATTTGAAAAGGGGTGTGAGGCCTACAAACCTACCGACCTTTAGCTATCTTTGAATGAATTTTTTTATTCTTCTGTAGGTGTGTTTGTGAGTGAAATCCTCCTAAAGGGTTGTACGGATTTTAACGAAACTTTTTGTGTATTTGAGTGGGTCTCTGGATGGTTTAGTTTCAAAATTTAATCCGACAGTTGGCGCTGTAGTTGAGTTATTACTAAAAATCTTATTTATGATCCGATTTGGCTAATGTTTTAAATATGTATGCAATACTATTGCAAAAGCGTGCTGCCAAGTGGTGCTGAAGTCGAGCTATTACTAAAAATAGCCAAGTGAGAAAAGGGGCCGTGAAGGTCAGATTAAATCGACCTGTTGCACCATTGAGTATATCGACGGTCCTGCGTTGCAATTGGCCCAAAGGATGTGATTTTCCAATATTATTATGCGTTCAAACTTTTAAGGTACAGAACAATGATTCGCACCCATTTTGATTTGGCACCTACTATACTGTAAAGCTTCTAGGATATTCACTATAGAACCGGGTCATTGTTGCCGCCAGGGAGAGGAAAAAATTTATTTCGCTTTGCGAATAACCGTGCTATGAAATGCCGCACAACTGGAGAATTTCAAGAACGGATATAGCACTTTCCTTAGGTTATTTAAAGCGGCAAATGACCACCAAACCTTAATCTTAGCAGACAAATGTGCCAATGAAAATCGTAAACGTGAATTGTTGGTGAAAATGTTGGACCAAAAAGTTTCAATAAAATATATAAAAATTTTGGGCGGGACGAAGTTCGCCGGGTCTGCTAGTAATAATAATATTTTGGCGTTGAAACTTTTGCTAAGTGTTTGGCCGAGCTTCTCCTCCAGTTCGTGTCTGAAATACTTACTTACGCCTTCAAATATTTCGTTGTTTTATTACTTCTATTTTAAGAAATTAATAAATTTATTCGGTTTCACTGATGTTTCCGTTGACAAATGCAACACAGCTAAAAAGAAGAAAAACTTCAGACTAAATCCTGTAACTTCTGACTAGGAAGAGTTGTTCTGTTACTCTCTCAGAAGTGTTCCCAAGTAAAGGTTTTTTGTGTAAAGAAACGACTTCGATTTATATGGTGTTTGTGAAAATGCAAGTCAAATTTAAGATACAATTGGTACAATTGTATTTAACATGAAAAACATTGCGAATATTAAAAAAGGAATAAACGCGCTCTCAATTTTGTGAGTGAGGTATGCAGTACATAGGTAATATGTATGTACCTACTAAAGGGTTGCGAGAATCAGCTCATGTTATGAATGCACCACAGAATTCATGAATTCATCTCATAACTCGAGTCTAGCGCCGCTGTTGTCTTGAAACTAGTCTTGTCTTTCACTAGCAGGTAAGCTTGTTAATTCATCCCATAAACAAACGAAACTCACACTCATACCACCAACCAGTTGTGCCGATCGTTAAGCAGTGGGAGCAATGAGTAGCCGACACTCTTTGTTATGTGAATTCATTGTTCCTCGAATTCTATTAACAGGGATGGGTGCACTCATGGTTTTCAGCTAAGCATGCAAATAATGTTTGCCTGCATATTACGGACCGTAGATGCTTGGTCGATATATTTTAGTAAATATTTGATTTTGTCATTTAGTTTGTGAATTCGGAGATAAAACAAAGTAGAATTTTTTGGCAGCTATTTGTTTCAATACACACATTTTATACCCGAGCGCACTTGTTATCAGATACATTTCCTCAAAAATAATGGATGTAAGTGATTGACAGCAAATATCAGTGCATTTTTCATTAACAATTTAATGAAATTAAGGATAAAATTGTAAAAGGGGAGTACACAATTGTCATTGAAACTGGAAAAAGCAAGGTTTGGGAAATTTTTGGCAAGGTTGAAAATAGTGGCAGTGTGATAAGAGATGTTGTGGCATGCAAAAATTGTAACAGCGTTTTCAAATTTACTAATAGCACGTTAAATCTTGTGAAACATAAATGTTATAAAAATTTAAAGAACCGTTCGGAAGATAAGCCAAAGAAACAAGTTTACCATAATACAAAAAAAAAATTTTATTGAAAAATTTACCAAATTGGTCATAAAAAATTGCAGACCATTTAAAATCGTGGAATACGCAGGCTTGATCGAATATACGGACCTAATGCTTTCAATTGGAGCTATGTAGGTATGGGCCGAATGTAGATGTTCATTCCCCCATCCAACAACTGTATCAAGAAATATAGACCATCTACGATGGCAGATAAGCGGGGGGGGATGAAGTTAACCCCCCCCCCCCCCC